CTCTCTCTCTCTCTCTCTCTCTCTCTCTCTCTCTCTCTCTCTCTCTCACACCCTCCATCATGTCCCAGCATGCCTCGATGGGTAAAATCACAGAGAGGAAACCAATAAAAGTGAAGAACAAGGTGTGAAGAGAAAGACAGTAGCCAAGAGAAAAAATAGAAAAACAAGGCGTGTGGAGGGTCAGGGAGAGATCGTGTTGATGACGATGCATGTTTTGATGCTGCATTCAGTGGAGACAATATGGTGGATGGGAATGATAGTTGAAAGCGGTCTTATTGTGTTCTGTCCAGTTATTTGTTGCCATGTAATGGGAGGATGCAGCCTTGATGCCTCACATAATTTAAATGCAATAGTACTTTTGCAGCACAATATGAGCCGGGAACGTTCGGTTACATGGTATGCACCTTTAAGGGGAAACACCTAAAGACATTAAAACAGTTTAATTAAACATATATCTCCATTGAACTTCCACAGTTGATTACTTACATTAAGATCATTATTTTTTTATATTACAAGTTTTCTAAAGTTGATGGCTGAATATGCAAATAAGGCATTAGCTTATCAAATATGTATCTACATTTTTTTTTGGAAAATGACCTTTATAGATGTGTATTGTAAAATGACAGACATTTTAAAGTCAGGAGGTGAATAGAGTAGATATATTGAATAACAGAATGTTATGTTTAAATATGCAAATGAGGTAGTATCTAATTCTAACTTCTGGTGAATTTAGGAGAACTCTACAGACACAAATAGACAAAAGTTTAGTGAAATAAAGAGCCTAGGCTCTTTCCTGGTTACAAGGTGAGCATTACCAAACAAACAGGCCAGACTGGCCCCTGCTTGCGGCACTTGATTAATTTCCTGGCGGCCCGTGTTGTGGCTATGAGCACGTTTCCCAGGCTGAGGTGGAGGGAACACAGATGGGCCGAGACAACTCACACAGGTGGGAGTCTCTAATAAGCTGCCAAAATGAGAAAGTGACGGAGGGAGAGGTCGAGACTGTGGCAAAGGAGGAAGCAGCGGAAGATGACGCCGGGGAGAAAAAATCGTATGAACATGATTTTGATCCGTCATTCGTGGTATTTGGAGATGTACATTAGAAACACACACTTCAGCTGAGTGAATTTGCATATCCTGCACAGCTGCAAGCCTCGCGCTCCGCTGCGATTCTGGATTTAAATACGGAAGGATTTCATAACTTGGTATTCTGTGTTTGTAATGAACCGTTTTTTCCCCCCCTCCGATTGTGGCTGCGTTTTCCCCCTAAATTATGTTTTGCGAAATTATTTTGTAGGAATATTAATATCAGCGAGCCATTCCGTCTGCAGTGAGCCAATCTGTAGCAGAGAAAAAAAATCCCGTGCTTGGCCGGCCCCCACAGAACATGTTCCCGTGGCTCGTGAGGGCAGCTTATTGCTTTGAGAATCACTCTGCAGTTCTGAAAGTATAAATAAGTCTGAGCCTTTTGTTCCTCTTTCATTCCACAATAACCAACAGCCTTTGATATGTCTGTGTGAGATTACATTTCCCCCTCCTATAATGCATTACAGGCATGCTCTTGTGCAGAGAAATGAAATCCTATCTCAGAGGCTATTCTTATAAGTGTTGGGCTTATTCTGCGCAGCTCTGTGGAACATGCACTTTTCCTTTTACACACCTGCATGCGACTTGATTTCATTTAATTTAGTCAACGATCATAGTCAAATTCTGTGTATTGTTCATTAGCAGCATTACTGCGATGGTACATACAGATTCTCCTGAACTAGACCTTTAAATCTGATGCGTGGTGCTTTGAACGCTTGATTGACGTTGAGGTGCAGTCGGTTCTGCGTTTTACTAACTTTAAAGCACGCGAAGGGACAGAGATCGCCACCAGATGCTCATTCGTACAGGACGAGTCAGAAGACTGATCTTAACCATCAAATCCACTTGGCCCCTCATTTACAGTACTTAACTTTTAATGATGTAATCAGCTCGGTCATATAAATAACAAGAAAGGACCCTTGTTGTCGTGCGGCACTGTGATGTTTTTTTGCCACCCGCGCTATAAATAACTTCGACTAACAATTGCCTTTTGTGAGATTTGATACTTTGACAGCTATAAAGCTCAAGGAGGGGGGGGGTGTGAATCTCATTTAGATCAGCACACATGGTTTCAATCGATGTGTGTGTGTGTGATAGATTATCACCATAGACCTACTTATTTCCACACAGAATACAAATAATAAAGCAGTACAGTTAATTCGAGGTAGTTTGAGGTCACATATTGCATCACCAAAATAGGAAATAATGATAATGTGAAGGAATAATAGCATAACTACAAAGAGATGCCGTCACCGGCATCATCTGCATCGTGAGCCTGCATCAATCTTCAGAAGCAATTACTGCTATAATTCAAACAACAGCACAGAGCTCACAAGGCGATGTGTCATTTATGATGAGGAAAAAGAGACTCCACAATGTCAGCTCACAGCACGTGTGCACTCTCCCTCCCCTCTTGGACGCGGGAGTCTCGCATAAAGAATGGGGGGGGGGTGAGCTAATATGTGTAATGTGTTGACTTCCCCCCTCAGGTCGTCTACAGGGACGTGTTTGACGGATCCGCCATCAGAGAACTGGAGGCGTCGCAGTCCGGGTCCATCAACGGCGTGCACGTCTCACAGGACGGCGGGTACTTTGTGACAGGTGTGGCCCAGTGCTCGTTTTACTGTTGTCGCTGTGCTTCTTCGGAAGAAATGTTCCTTTCAACGTAATTCAACCCGAGAATGAATAAGTCTACATCGGAAAATTCTGCATGAGCATGCATGGAATTTCTTCAAATTTGGCACAAAAGTCCAAGTGTGCTCAAGGATGAACTGATTTGATTTGTCCTATTCTTGTGAATGCAACATCTCAGAAACGCTTGGAGGGAATGTCTTCAAATTCTGCACAAATGTTTACTGATCAACTGATTAGATTTTATTTGGGTGGGGGTGGGGGGGGGGGTCAAAGGTCACTGTGATCTCTCGTCCGTCCCATTCGAGTGAACCCAATATCTCAAGAACACTGAGGGGATTTCATTGCATCTGGCACAAACGTCCACTTGGACTTAAGGGTGAACTGATTCGAATTTGGTGGTCGAAAGTCAAGTTCACCTTGACTTCACAAAACACATTTTTGGCTGATACTCAAGAATTCATAATGCCAATTGTGACAATTTCTCACACATGGCTGTTAGGATAAAATGAGGCGATGACATTGTTGTAAACTGCAGCTTGACTGGGAGGCGGAGGCATACAACCGCGAGGTATAGTTTCAGTCGGGGTCACTTCAGTTAAAAACTGTATCATGAAATCCTTCGTTTTGTTTTCGGTCGTGGCGTTATTGTGCTACTTTCCATTTGTCTTTTTTCACTCATACATAGTCGAGAGTGTTCTCATCTCTTTGCAGCCTTCGTTTTCATCTCCTCTGACACCACAATGCACGGCTCTGCTCAAACGTCTCGTGAGATTATTGACGTGTTTTTCACCTCTCCGTGACAGGCGGAGATGACAAGCTGGTGAAGGTGTGGGACTACATGAAAGGTGTGGTCACCCACGTAGGAGTAGCTCACAGTAGCAGCATCACCAGCATCAAGATCTGCTCCAATAGCCGCATCTTAATCAGCACCAGCGCCGACGGAGCCATTCTCCAGTGGAGGTTCCCTCACCCTTCGGCCTCTTAAATACTGCACACGGCGACTTGTAATCCACACTCATACTCAAATGTATCCGACGTTAATCTTTCCTCTTAGCAACTGTTATGAGAGTTCAACTGTATTACATATAAGTTTACACTCAGACCGAAATGAAATAAATGTGATGAAGCATTAACGACTTTGTTATGTGTCGAGAATGGATGATATAAAAAAAGAAATGAAAAGATTACACTTCCTGAACAGTGCGGGCACTTGAGTGGTGATTCCCCACAGGAGCTGAATATAGGTGGGAATTCACAGAGCGACACTTAACACGAGTATAAAATTACACATCAAGGCACAAGAACGTATTCTTCACACCAAAGTGCTTCTTTAGACCTCTTGAGAACAACAGAACGAATGCCGCTCTGCAGACGCCGTCGCGATGCCGATGAAACCACAATATGTAAAAACAAGGCTAATATGCCTTACATTTACACAGCTATCATTCTGTTTCTGTAGAGACACTGGCTGGTATCACACAGAATTATCAACTAGATTGAGTGGGTGAATTCAAAGGTCTGGATCGAGGGCAGTAGAGACAAGGAGGAGGCCCAGACTCAGTCAGCTAATCTATCAAAAGAGGCTCCCTGAAGGATTCCGGTCAAGACAGCAGCTCGCTGACTGTCTCTGATCCAAACCCACTTTCCTCACTGTTGTTCAGAATCCCCCCCCCAAAGTCAAATGGCAAACCTGCAGTACAAACCAAGTCAGCAAAAAACATCCCTGGATCTGTAAAAAACGAAAAAAGCCATCGCTGTCGTCTGCGTTCTCCACCCTGCTACTGAACAGAGGACCATCTGTGGGTCATTTTCTGTGAGCAAATATGATTACGTTTACTTGTCAACAATGGTGTGTTTCCTAACGATGCTTTAATAGGTGCATCGGGGGGGAAATTATGGAAATATCGGATGGGGCCTGGACTATCTATTTCAATAAATCAGCACATCTGGCACACTAAATTCAATCTTTAGTACTGGTGAGCTGTGAAATTAAGCTTCAGATGATTAGAATCTGAATATAGCACAAAAGATGTTGAATCCCAGAACCGCAAACAGCTTCTTTGAAATCCATTTGACTTACTTTGTGGAGTTCGGTGCAGTAGCAGCAGCCTTAATGTTTGTTATTAGCCCGGCTATGGATGTTGTACATGTGTCTGTAAATGCTTGTGTGTTATAGACAAGATATTTCAACAGCAGGGTAAAGCAAAAGTAGACCCTTATGTGGATAATCTCATTTAGCAGAATCAGCCAACGAATGCCTTCTTTTGACACTTTCTGGAGACATTAAAGCAGGTGATGTTGTAACCAGTCCTACAGGGGGCAGTTTAATGCTAACAGAGATTACCACATATTAAACACAACAACTTCCTTGTTCCCTGTGTAGCAAACAAGACGGGTTAAGTTTTCCTTTCTTCTCTTTGCCAGTCCAGCATCATGTGTGAGACTGTGTGAAAAAGAGCTGTCCTTTTCACTGTTGTGATAGACTATCAGTAATAATCCAGGTACATTAATTAAATCCATGGCTGAGGGGCGGGTTTAAGACAGAATCCTCCAAATAGAAACTTCATTGTAGCCCCGTAGACGGGAGCGGAGAGGAGGGAGGAATTAGCGAGTCCGCGCGTGCGATCCAGCGCTTGACAGCCATCGATGAGGAAGTGTAATTGAACCTGCTGAGTGTGGAGGAAAGGAAAAGCGTCTCATCTCTCTGTTCCTGGAGAGAGAGCGTCGCTCCACGAATCCCGCGGGCTGGCGATCACACAGTTGGCTACTGGGAGTTACCGGGATGTCACAGGGGATATTATCAGTAATAATGTGCCAATAATGTGCCACCTCAGCGGTAAGGTTTGCGGAGAGAAACGAGGAGGAGGAGGAGGAGGAGGAGGAGGGGTAGACAGCCAGCCCCGGCAGACAGGTGCGACTCCGCCGCCCGTTTCATTTCTTCCTCGCGGTCCTGTAAAGTAGTAGCGCCATGGATACCCGCAAGGAAAACAAGGTAAGGAAAGCCATGAAACCCAAAACGAGGAAGCGAAAAGAGAATAAATACAAAACCGGGAGGTTTGGCAGAAAGAAATCGCTGCGATCTTTTGGGAATTTCATGGGGAGGCTCCTTAAAACTTTGGGCACTTTGGCGCACTTTGGGGACGCGGAGCCGCCGGACGCGGAGGACGACGACGGCGGCTTCGGGCCGAGCGCTTCGGGGGGTTTCAAAGACGACGGCGCGCAGGTCGCCCGGGAGGGAGCCGCGAAGAAGAGCTCCGTGGCGTCCTCCTCGCACGGCTCGGTGAAGAGCAGGCTGTCGTGGTGCCACGGCGACAAGACCCCCGGGGTGCTGGGACTGAAGAACCACGGCAACACCTGCTTCATGAACGCCGTGGTTCAGTGCCTGAGCAACACCGACCTGCTGGCCGAGTACCTCGGGCTGGAGCAGTACAAGTCCGAGGGGGGCCACGGGAGGGTGAACGGGGAGGTGAGAGGCGAGGAGCCGCAGGCCGCCCGGGGAGAGGTGACCGAGCAGCTGGCGTCGCTGGTTCGAGGTCTGTGGACCCTGGAGTACACCCCGCTGCTGTCAGTGGAGTTCAAGGTGAGGACACACTGGTTGGTTGTGCTGTTTTTGTTTTGCAGTATGTTTTCTGGTCACCGCAGAGGAAAAGTGTGAAGGCCACTTATCTTAATTTCCCGGCATGCCATTGAGAAAGGGATTAGAAATGACTTGAGAGAGAGAGATGTTAAATTTGGTCTTTCTAACAAAGGCAACAACTTTTATAGTTGCACAAATACCAGTTGTATGTTTTGGTAAATATCAAGTGGAAATTCATAGCAAGGCTATATATCTATTTGATTAAAACTTGCATGGGCCCCAGACCCCCAACGGTGCCCTGAGACCCCCAACTTAAATAGTGTGTCAATTGATTTCTGGTTATTTTATTAAGTGCACATTTGTCTGCGAATGTCCCCCACTACAGCGCCATTAAAAAGCAATACCGCAGGGCCTTAAGGCCCTTTAAATCACATTACCACACAGCTAATTGACACAGAGCAGCAAAAGCTGCAGCCAGGTAGTTTATTTTCCAGCGCTGGTGGGTGTCTGGAAATATAATGAAGCTGCCGTGAGTGGTCTGCTGCTGTGTGGTCTGCACTCAGCGGGTACTCTGAGAGGACAGGAATACATTCACACTGAGAGGTGTCGGGGGGGACACCGGCAGACAAATGTGCCGGAAATGCACGGGCCCGGGACACCCTCACCCAA